GCCAGACACACTGGCTAGCGGCAGAGGAAAGAAGTGGAAAAAGAGACGGAGAAGAGAATACAAGGAAATCTGATTCCTGGCTGTGTCCCACTTAACTCTTGTTTATGAGGAGAGGGGATCTAATCTCAGTCTACGCTCTCATTTTCAATTTCCAGCAATGTCCTAGTACTTAGATCACATCTACGACTGTGTTTATTTCAATTTTCTATGTACTAAGGGAACATATTTTCCATTTTATCTAATTTGACTGTTGTGGACACAGATAAAGTGGGTAATTGATTTAACCATGATGTATGAAGCAAGAGGGAAATTCATAGAAATCGAGTCTGAACATAATCAACAGAGCAATTAAATTGCATTGGAACAGTCAGTGCAGTTCTGTGTGAGCCAACGATTGTGTAACCAAATGATTTAATCGAGTTAATGGTTAGGACTGAACAATTAATTGGAATATTCATTTGAAATATTCCAACAATGAATTGTCTATCTATCTGTCCATCCATCCTGAGATCCTACAGAGATGCCCCGGCCTATGTTCTTCAGACTTAAAACTACATCCTTGTTCGGAACTGACCCTAACCCAAAAAATACCATCATCATTTCTCTATTTTTTTTATATGAAAAGCAAAAATAACTGTAAAAAATCAGGAGGTTATATCTGTCAATACACATATTTGTTTCTCCATATTATTCAGCTATATTCCTGGTCTGCTCTCCTCTGACAGTGACAAAGAAGTCTGTAATTTCCAGACCATATTATCAAAGGCCCAGCAGATCTCATGTTGAGATGATGCTCCACTCCACCTTCTAACTTCATGTCTTCACCCGAGCAGGAGGCCTTATATGTTTTTGAATTTAAATAGGAGTAAATATCTATTTGCATAATACCAGGAAAATGTATATTTGTTCTATATGATGTGACGTTTCAGTTTAGTTGCTTTGTTCCACCTGCCCTCCTCTATAGGGCTCTGCTTTGAGCATCCTGATAATATTTCCCACAGTGGGTAAAACCATATCACATGATCTATATCAGGCTGCCTCACACTCAGGTGACGACAGGTGATGCAACAGAGATATGTACGCTCGAGCTTTCCCCTCTCGCCGCCCTCAGAAATATGTGAATATGGGACGAGGGCAAATTTCATGGAAGTGGACCCCACACCGTTGTGCAGATTCATGGTTCTAGTCGCTGATTTCTGTTGAGCCAGGTAGTTAAATGCGTTAGCCTTTCATCCAAGGTGTAAATCAGCTCATTTTAGATGACCAAGTGAAACCAAAACCTCATGACGTCTTCATTTTTTATAAGTTGTCTGGTTTCTGAAGATATTTCTGAGTTGCCTCAGTCACAGCTATGAATTTTGAACACGCTCCACATATACTTAATCATCTTGAGTGTAGTCTCAGTAATGCAGCCAGGACATGGTCTAATTTCTCCCACTGTATGGTCCTGGAGAACTGAAGTCTGCTGAAGGGCCTTTCTCCTTCTTTCTCACTCACCTCCTGAGTTTCCTTTAGCACAAGACTTTTCTTTTCTTCCCCCTCTGAGCGCATGTGTTTCGGGCCCATGTGTCAGTGTGCTGTCACCCTCTCACAAAGAGCTGTGGTATTTGTGGCACTTAAAGTGGACATGTGTGGCGGCATGGGCTGCTCGAACGCACTCCCCTCACACTTTATGACCAGGCCAAACTCTGGACATATGGTATACGTCCTGCTCGCTCTCAGGTCTGGTCCTTCCTTTTCCGGTTGCTTTTATATCTCGCTCAATCACTTTTCTTAGCTTCAGCCCAAATCGAACAAAAAAAAAAGTAGTTATTTCTTTTTTTTATCCTTCTACAATATTCATTTTGAACACACTGCTCCTGTTAATGTAAAACATGCTGCTGTTGGTTTTGTCACAAATTCACAAATGTAAGTGTGAACACATCCTAAGAACCTGCGTGAGGTAAACCAACACTACCTTTTGATAAGTCTGTTTACAGTTTTAGACACCACATTTCCATGGTTTGATATCAGGGAAGTTAGAATCAACTTCCATTTTTAAATAGAGCTTGGCAGTTATGAAGAAGTTATGACTGTTTTCATCCTTTGCCAGACAAAGAAGAAATGACTGGAGAGCACTTTAAAATAAGTAGCTTGGATGTTTGTTTTAAAGTTTCTCACCTATGTTTATGTTGCATCATACATTTTACCATCATATTTAAGAAATTTTAATTATGGTTTCTAGACAGGATGTTAATTGAGAGTTGTGAAGTCTAATATTACACAGATTCATAATATTAAGTTAATTTTCAGTTACATGTTGTGTTTCAGAAAAGAGATTTCCTAAAAGTCCTGTTGGTTTTTCTGTTTCTTAACCATGTTAATGTCAAAGTCTCATAGATACCGGTCCTTAGCAGCTGAGGCATGCAACCCTGATTGTTTCGAAATGTTTCGGATCTGTCTCTTTTTAGGATTGAAACCCACATAAATATGAGATTCTGAGCTGGGCCATATTATCCAGACAAATTCAAATTAAGGCAAAGTGTTTGACCTAAAAGAAGCACCACATTTGGCTTTGATTGTCTCCCTCCATGTTAAGGCTGGCCAGCCCAGCTTGGCAGAAGATGCTGTGTGAAAGTCTCTGAACGGCCTCCAACACAACGATGCCGGCGACTTGTCAACAATGTCATGTGACTGGCTGTAGGATGCATATGTTCTGTTTACTTCTCTGTGGAAGTACTTTTTCCTTCTTCTGTAGTATTATCACGAGAAGGTGTTTGTGACTTGTCTGTACATGCACAATCAGCTCTCTACTCTGTTTATACAAAGTCCAGATGTGCTTTTATCACTTAGTACACATTGTACTCTTCCTCAAATCAAGCTTCTTGACGATTCTTGCTGCTTTTACATGTCTATCCTCTTCAGATCAGACAGACCTAATTACCTCTTCTACAGGCAAAACAAATCTGGTACACGTTATCTCACTCTTATGTTTTTCTTTCCAGACACGTTTTGTAGATCTGTGTTTTTCCTCAAATGACAACCACTGATGCAATGCAGGTTATCTGATAGTAGCTGGGGCTTGATTTTGCTCCTTTGTTTTCTGTTGTTGTACGATCAAAGGTGTTGAACTCAGGAAGATCAGATTCTCGAGCTGCATGTTTTGGGCATAATCCAAGAGGTTTTCAGATGGTTTTCTGAGCTTCAGAGGTAGAAGAAAGCATAGAAATATCAACATAGAGATTTTTGCAGTTCATGGAGATGATATAATGGAAAACTGGTCCATTTTATGTGTGAAGGCAAATGGGCAATGCTAGAATGGTTCTGTTTGTGGTAATAATGGTGTGATATGATACATTCATTCAGAAAGTAGGTTTTTAGTTTCAGACTGTGACCTGCATTTCAGAACCGTTGGCCAAGGTCTGCTTCTGTTGCTGAGCTGTCCTGAGCAAATGCTTAAAATCGGTGTTAATCTAATGAGCTGCAAAACTCAACATATCTCTCTGAAACTATCTCGTGCTCTAATTTCTTTATAATTTTAATTCACCTACAAAGATCTCCACCTCTCACTGTTTATGTGGTGTCCAAGGAAAACAAAACTACGCTCTTTAGTTGTCAATAGGCATGCAGTCCAATACATTATCAGCTGCCTTTTGTTTTTAGATCTCTTTAGCCTTTAGGAAATGCCATAGTATGTGGTCATATTCTCCTATTGTATAACTCCCACTTTGTCCTCTAAAATTTTAGTTGCCCCTAGACCATTGTTCCTTGTTGAATAATTCATTGATGTTGGGGGAACTTTACTTCCTAGGCCCAGGGTACATTTCTGCTGTAGGAGGTGTTATTTTGTTATCTATGTGAGGATGTGTGAAAAAATATGGTGTGGTTTGATCAGTTATTGATGGGCATCGTTGTTCGATTTTTGTGAATAGATTACAATATAATAATGTTTATGCATTAAGATGCCAAATAATGACTAAACCTATATTATATATGGCATTATCCTAAAGGTTTCAAGCAATTTTCAGATCTTGATAAATCAAATGGTCGTCCGCCAGAAGCAACTGAAATTTCCTTTTTAATCCTTATTTTTATGCTGCAATTTTAGATATTGCTCATTTTAAACTATATACTCTAACCATAACCAGGCATTTGACCTGTTTCCCTAAAACTACTAATACATACACTGTAATTTTGACAAAATGCACAGCAATGAAATGAATGTAATCATCCAGCGCTTTTTCAGAATTAAAAGTTTAAATATAACCCCTAATTTTTCCAATCATACTATAATTATGAAAGATTAAGTTCCATCACGACCCGGGTCGTGTTCCCCCCCTTTTTTGTTTTCTCCTACACCCAATCTTTAAATGTAAGATGCTGCGAACAAGTGTGACAACAGCTGTGGAAGCCACACACTGAGCTCATGATTAGAGCCATGAGCTGTTAGAAGTTCTCTCCTCATTTCACTCTTCTTTCCCCCCCTCTCTTCCTCTTAAACACCGTCTTCACCTTTTCTCACATTGTACAATTTAGCCATTAGTTTGACTTCTGTCTATAATTAACATAACTATGAGCTAAAGCTCTCTGAACTCATTACCCACAAGTGCAAGCGCATCCATTTTACAGTTGCAGTGAAGATTCATGCCGAGACACATTCTCGTGGTCTGATGTGAGGTGTATGTTTAGCTTTTTAAAGAAAACGAAAACCAAGCAGGATAATCCAGGAAATGAAAGTCATGGAGACAGCAGGGACACCGTGGGTCACATGATCAGGTTTATTACTCTAATCCCATGGTGGCATCACAGCTGATGACCTGCTAGTTAAAGCAAGGCACAATTGAAGGGGATGCAGAAGAATTTAAATGACACATGGGGACAGTGTGTGAAGCTGTATGGGAAAACTGCCCCCCAATGTTTGCTGCATACCAAACACACGCCTACATATCTCCCTGTTGTTTTCTCTCATAATCCCATCGCAGACATGTGCTCAGATTTTCTGATTCTCTTGTTTATTTCAGAAGCTCTCCAAAGACCAGACTTTGAGGGTCAGGGTCTGACAGAAGCGGCCCGGTGGAACTCCAAAGAGAATCTGTTGGCTGGACCCAGTGAGAATGACCCCAACCTGTTTGTGGCACTCTACGACTTTGTTGCCAGTGGCGACAACACACTCAGCATTACCAAAGGTGAGGCAACGAAGAAAAATGTCTTATTCAGACTATTTCACATCGAGGTGGAAGTGATCCCAATTCATTTTTTTAAATTTCTGAAAACTTTCACTTTCGCCAGTGGGTGTTGGAAATGATTTGGAAATGGACACTTCTAGAGAATTGCAAGCTTGATAAGTTTACTGGGAATCTGCTTATTTGCTTATTTGCTTCCCGTCCTGTCTCTATCTTCATCCCCGTCTGACTCTCACTTCCTGGTGATCGTCTCACCCGTGGTTTTTTTTGCCCCCCTCACTGAACAATACCACAGATGGATCACACAGACAAACAGAGGAAGGAAGGGGGGAACATATGCACCGGAATAAACAAGAAAATGCCCTGGACAACATTAATAATCTAAATTGCAAAACAAATGTTTTACTTTGGGCCCATACTTAATTTGGATTACACAACTATTTGAATTAGAGGTAAGCAACAAAATTAGCTACCTTTATGATATTATTGTATCGTTTAAAGCTACTCTTAGTTGTTTCCGGTCTAAACTCAAGGGAAAAAATCAATTTCCTGAGTTCAGGCAACCAGAATGACTTTTCAAAATAGTTTCCTGATGTAAGTAAAGGTGACATTAGAAACAGTAGATTCCTGCATGGTTAACTCAGATAATGCTTTTGTACCATATCATGGTATCCTGTTACTCAATGCAAAGAGTATAGAGGCTCTATAACAATCCCAGCTGAGGAAATGTTATTTTCAAAATCACAAGAATCACAAGGTACTTTCTCCACAAGTAGCCCTGATTTTCAATTTTTCAATTTTGATCTCCTGTGTTGACTAGGAGAGAAGCTGTGCGTGCTGGGTTACAACCACAATGGTGAGTGGTGCGAGGCACAGACCAAGAATGGCCAGGGTTGGGTGCCATCCAACTACATCACACCGGTCAACAGCCTGGAGAAACACAGCTGGTACCACGGACCTGTGTCACGCAATGCTGCAGAGTACCTGCTCAGCTCGGGCATCAACGGAAGCTTTCTGGTCCGCGAGAGCGAGAGCAGCCCTGGTCAGAGGTCAATATCTCTGCGGTACGAGGGGAGAGTCTACCATTACAGGATTAACACTGCATCTGATGGCAAGGTAGGCATCTCTGGAAATGGACAAATAATATGTCTACATAACAGGAATGATTTCTACCCTTCAAACAGTCAAACAGAAGAAGCATCCCCAACACACACTCACTGTTTTTCAGAGTATTAACAGGTTTCTTCAGTATTAAACAAATAAGAAACATCACCACAAAGAAAGTATACTCCCAGCAGTATATAACAATACATTTTATATATATGTTAGAATCTAAATTAATCTGAGACCAAATACTTCTATTGTTTTATTAGCCCTGAAAATGCTTGAAATGTGAATGGGTTTTTCATTAGAAGAGCTTCGGGTTGGTTTAAGAAGTCCCACTGTATCTGGAGCACAGTTTTATTAAGAGCTTTTACACATGGTGCAGGGTATCACATCCTGATGGTCATGATAGATTAGATCAGGCCATATTTCACTATGTGTGCAGCTCAGCCTCCTGGTGTGGGATTCCCCCAAATTGCTATGTCGGTCTAGAAGTCGCTGCCATTTTGGCTGGGTCACTCTGCATTCTGTGATGCAGCGAGGGGAGCTAGCTCGAGGAACGCTAGCTATGACAAGAATTTCTCCATCCACCAATGTGCTGTTCATAATGGCCAGCAGACGCAAGACTGGTCAGACACTGACGCCCATGCTAGGACATGCAATAGCACAGACAGTTGCAGCCAAGTATGCACACATACACCAAACAAATGGACAGACAGTGACAACACACACACACACACACACA